TACTTTCATGGTGGGTCTTGTGGTTTTCCTGCCTCAGCAGGAATTCTTACAGGCTTTTCCAACATTTATACAACTGCACTGGGCACAGTTGGGGACACAAGGTTGAGCTGCCCAAGCAACAGCATAAATTAAGTCTCAGCAAAATTAAATTTGAAGTTAAAATAGACAAAAGCAAATCTAAGCAAAACAAAACACCCAACCAGAGACTGCTGACCAGAACAAATACCCCAGGTGGAGCTGCCGTTTAGAAAGCCAGTTCTGTATTGCCACAGTGTGAGCAAACAACACAGGGCACCGGGAGACTGCAGGAGAGCCTGGGGCACCCGCTTTTCAGAGCAACTCCTCCCCCTGCAGGTCCCTTCCAGAACAATAGCCAGATCATCCAGACAAAATCGGCCAGGAAAGAGGACTCATGCCTGCAGACCAAATGCACCTGTCCAAGTGTACCTCACCAAGTCGCAGTGAGAGCTGAGTCATGAGGCCACTCACTCTTCACAGCACACACTAGAACTTGTCCCTGATGGTCAACCTTCCCTTTTGTTTTAGCTATAAAAGGGACCAAAGAAAACAGAGTAAGACCCAGCCTGGGTGCCAGCCTCTACCTAGGACTTCCTGGCCTACTCCAGGTGGCCACCCACCTTGGCTCTCCGTCCTCCTCCGTCTGGACTAAGCACCTTCTCCTAAGGTTCCTCTTCTGCTTGCATGGGGCCACCTGTAAGAGCTCCACCCAGGTGGGCGCACCTGCCCCTGCTCTCTGAGCTCCAGTCCTCACACCTGACACATGGGATTTGCACGTGGTCCTTCGGGGCTGAAAGCATGACCTTTAGGAACATTAGCGTGGTAGAATATTACTCTCAGGTGTGTGACTTTTGTTTGTGCTGTATTTGTTTAACTCCGTGAAGCTAGGTTACCGTGCCTGTCTAAAACACCAGGTGGTCATAATAAAGAGCTGAATGGTCACTAGAGAGACAAGAGAAAGGAGAGGCAGGGCTGGCAGGCAGAGAGGATAAATAGGAGAAACGAGGAAAAGCAGGAGAAGCAAGAGAAAGCAGGAGAGGAGGACATCAGGGGCCACCCAGCCATCCTGCCACCCAGCCAGCCACCCAGCCTCCCTGCCACCCAGCCTCCCTGCCACCCAGCCACCCAGCCAGCCAGCCACCCTGCCACCCAGTCTCCCAGCCACCCTGCCACCCAGCCAGCCACCCAACCACCCAGCCAGCCAGCCAGCCACCCACCCACCCAGTCTCCCAGCCAGCCAGCCAGCCAGCCAGCCACTCACCCAATCTCCCAGCCACCCTGCCACCCAGCCAGCCAGCCAGCCAGCCAGCCAGCCAGCCAGCCAGCCAGCCAGCCATGGACTAAGAAGGAAAGAAAGACATACAGAAGTAAGAACGATAAAATCCCAGAGGAAAAAGGTGGACAGGTTACTTTAAGAAAAGCTGGCAAGAAGCAAGCCAAGCTAAGGGCGGGCATTCATAACTAAGAACAAACCTTTGTGTTTGATTCATTTGAGAGTTGGATGGTGCCCCCCCAGGAGAAGAAAATCTCAACAACACATTAGTACACGTGTACACATGTATAAGTGCTTATGACCACAGCCCATTGACTAACATGGGCTATACACGTGATGAATTTTGTGTACATGCATACATCATATATACTCATCCAAAAAGCATATACCTTTATGTACAGTGTGCTCTTTGTACCTGTAAACAGGTAGAGATGTCACCTTCGCCACTCACAGGCCCCGAGGAGTCCCCTGTGTGATAGATACGGCGAGTGGTCTAGCCCACTGTTCAATGAGTGCAGGGTGGCCTCGCGTCACTTCCCCAGCAGCCGAGCACTTGTGTTAGTGCCACAATTGTCATGTAAAACTGTGGAAGAAATGTCCCTTTCCTGCAGTCTGTGTCAGTGGCACCGCACCATTGGTGTCCATCACTGTTGCCGAAGGGCTTCTACACAGACCAACAGAGGACACTTCTTTCAGCATGGGAAAAGATGTGTGCACGATGCTGTTGTGTGGGATGCTCTGCACATGCCTCCCAGGTATATCCAGTCTAGGCTGGCTTTCCTTGTCTTTTTTGTTTTGCTTTTTGACACAGCGTTTCTCTGTATTGCTTTGGAGTCTGTCCTGGAACTCTCTCTGTAGATCAGGCTGGCCTCCAACTCAGAGATTCGCCAGCTTCTGCCTCCTGAGTTCTGGTATTAAAGGTGTGTGCCACCAATGCCCAGCTTCCTTGTCATTTTTATCTGGAAACCTGGCCACTGTGGTGAGGAAACTAGGGTGTCTTGCCATTATAGTATTACTGTCCATTTCTCCCCTGAGCTTCCTGTGTGTGGGTGCTGGATGCAGATTTGCAATGTCATCTTCCCACCCATCCCCCACCATTTTTTGAGTATTTGCTGTATGAACAGGTGCTCTACAAACCTTTTTTACTGTTTCCTGTGCCATTTAAAGTCTACTTTTCTAAAGAATATTGTGCTTTGGCTCTGTGACCTGCTTCCAGAGTGACTTTCAAGCCAACCACCATCCGGTCTTGTGATGACCTCTGAGGAAAGAGCATAGTATGGGGCCTGGAACCTCAGAATCCTGGACAACCTGGGCCAAATGGCAAGTCATTGTCTCCTGAAAGGACAGGAATTTCAGGGGGTCCAGGAGTTTACAGGGAAGCCAAGGGTAAGCATGGAGTTCTTGCAACCCATAAACATAAATGTGCTAACAGCGGCTATTACACAGAGCTTGGCCACGTGCAGGACACTGATGAATGTTACCTGAGTTATTTGCTGACTCCTTGTAGCCACAAGGAAAATGATACTGCTACCTTACAGCTCAGATCACAGGGACAGTGATGGGCTTTGACCCAGGCATTGAGCTCCAGGATCCTGTTAACCAGCCCCTCACATACATCCTGGGCCAGGCAGCACATGGCAGATATGTTCAGGTTCCTTGTCCCCTTTAGACTGGTGTCAGGCTGTCCCATGCTTGCACATTCGCTAGTTCCAAGGTGAACTGTTACTGTGCTCCACATCCCCACTCACACTGAGATTCCACCCTGGGAAGTGTTAGGAGGCAGAGCCTTTGGGAGGTGACTTAAGTAGAGGACCACAGATGGAATCAGGGCTCTTGCTGGGACAGGGCTTGGCATCTCTCTCCTCCTTAGGACCTAGGACATGGTTGGCAAATCCCACGCACATCAGGCATGTTGTTATGTAGTTACATTGATTAGCAGACATTTGCTGAGACCCTACCACATGTCAGATGGTTGGCCTTATGCTGGGGACAAGAGGGCAAGGTCATCCCTCAAATACAGTTACATTAACTGTTGCTAGACTTCCCTGCTGCAGCTCTTGAGGTGACAGCCACCTGACTGCACACACTGACTCCTCCAAAGTCATCTAGCAGCTGTTATAACTGTATTCTGTTCACCAGGGAACAATTATTCAGAACCTGAAGTGTAGCTTGGACAATTCAGTGCTGCCCCAAACCTGCACTAGCTGATCCAGGGATGGACGCTTCTGACACGGGGCCCATGGTGCTCCATCCTGCTTCCTGGAGAGGGGTGTGGCTGAAGCAGGAAGCTCCATTGGCCTTGACTGATACCCCCACCTGGGGCCTGTATGTCATAGTGGATAAAGGACAATACAGATCCTGAATGCCCAGCTTTGGACTCTGGAGGGACAAAAGGCCTTTTGAGACCTCTCAGCATCTCTTCTAGGCTCCCAGAACCAACCAAACAAAAACAAGCTCTGAGGTTCACCTCTCTCCCTTACACTTGCCCTTACCTTGGTAGCCCATGAGTGTCTTCACACTCACAGCTGGCGCTGATCCCAGAGCCATGTCCACAGGGACACAGGCGCTCTTACCCAATCCAGGATGAAGCCTGAAGGCAGGGAAGGAAGCACTCCCTCCAAAGACAGAGTGCGACACCAAACAAGTTTTCTTCTCCACTACTGCCTCAACGGCCATGCGACCCACGCGGGACTTTTCTAGCACCCTCGCCTCAGTCAGGCGCTGGACAGGGACCACAAAACTCTCGGTTAGCAGCAATCTCCAAAGAAATGGTGGCTGTCACTGTGTAGTCACCTGCTGCCCCCTGCCCTGGGTCAGGAAAAGTGTCAGGGAAGGTGGGCACTCCCATCTCCCACAGCAGCATGGCCACTGTGGCTAGCGTGAGAGGGGAGGGTGCTCCTTCCTCTCCTCAGTTCCGAAGGAGCTGCAGGCCTCCTGTGAAGGGAAAGTGAACACCACAGAGCAGCACAGGCTCACATGCAGCTCTGACTACACTAGTCTGAACTAGAACGCGGTCCTCTGGGGTTGGTTCTGGTCTCTGGCCCACATCATGTCTTTGAGGTTCTCTGGCCACCTGAGTACTTACTGCACAGCTCTCTCCTTCACCTCAGGTCTTTCCAACCTGCTGAAGACTGGGGATCCCCAACCCAGAAACCACTTCAGACACCAGCATCCTCATCCACCAGTAAGGACAGCAGGGCCCTGGCAATTCCTGCTCTGCAAGTGGTAAACGAGTAACCGGGTAAAGGACTCAAGTCTTCACTGTAAGACAGATAGGAAACTAATTTTACTTGTCTCAGCCATTTGTGACCCTGGCTAACAGGTCTTTTCCAGCTCCCCCTCTGAGAGGAGCCAGCACAGCATTTCCCAATGAGCAGGCACCTCCCTCAAAGTCACTGCCCTAGGCACCCTGAATCTTTCGCTACGGGGTCTTCCAACAGCAGCAGCCCTGAAAGAGGTGCAGACATAAGTGGTGCACGGTGGGTCCGTCTGTCCACAGGGCAAGTCTGTCTGTCCACAGGGCAAAGGCACCTTCAGTCAGGTCTTCAAAGGCATGCACACGCCTGCACAGCCCAAGCTAACCAGACAGTACATCCCCCGCCGCTGCCCCGGAAAGCGGCATAGCGTGCTTGCTGATGGGACAGATGCGCTTTATTCCAGTGTTTGCCCAAGGGGAGGAGGCTGCAACACTCACCCAAAAGCTCAGGAATTAAAACTACCCTGCATGTTATGCTGTTCTTTTTTAATTTAAACAAGGACAAGGGGCTGGCATTCTCAGAACCAGCAGCATCCAGTTGATTCAGACAGTCCCCCTCCTGTGAGTGACCAGGTCCTGACGTCTAGTGACCTCTGCAAGGTCTCTACAGTCATCGATTCTGTCCTGAGAAAATTGAGACATGTCACAAATGTGGAGCATGTACGACTGGATGGCCTCACTGGACATCATCATCATCAAAGAGATCTTCAAAATCTGCGAAAACAAATAAAAGGTAACATATGAACAGGTACAGGACAAGCAAGTGGGGAATCTGCTTCGAAATGGACTTGATGACAGCGGTAGACAGTAAAAGATTCCCCAGGACGGGCTCTCAACTTCATCCAGCCAGGGGAAGCAGGTGGAACTCTGGAGGACAGTACTGTCTATGATATACTCTTAACCGTGTTTTAACTTAGAAGGCACTTTTTAAAATAAATCACACGGGGGTGCTGTGCACACGCACGACTTTGACGCTTGTCGACCATACTGAGCATAGAGACAACAGTGCTAGCCTGCACCAGGAGTGCAGAGTTGTCTCCTGAGTGGCCAAAGCTGACCGGAAGGAAGCCTCCTGTGTTCCCACACTAGACCTTTCTGGGCAAAAGCAGTGTCCACAGTGCAGAGCTGGCATGCAGGGCTGCTCCGCCCTCCACCTCCTGGCCTGGGCGTGAACTGTCGCTTCTCCAGGTGACTACTGCCCTGACACCATCGCTGTCGCCCAGAGAGGCTTCCCTATGACAGCGCTCTATTGCAAGCCCGCCGGTTTGTTAGGGCCCTCATCTGCCCGTCGGCAGCCGCATGTAGATCCCCCACTACTTATAAACCACAGTAGGAGAGAAGAGCGTCAGATCCACAGTTAGGGCCCAGTGCCCACCAGACGGCAGCTCTAAGCCTGTCTGCTTGAGAAGCCAAAAGACCTTGGTAGAAGCCCTAGCCCAGTGCCTCGTAGGCTTCCCACAATAGATGGCTTCCTAAAGACGGGGGGTTTGGCAAACTGTAGAACAGCACACATTCTCCTGAGCTCAGGCAGTGAGTAAGCAGGAGAGGAGACAGGGACCCTTCATATTCCTTCCTGTCGGGCATGGCTCCCTGGAGCCAGACGTCTACTGGCCACGTTAGCACCTGACAGAGCAGGCCAGGCCACCTGCTGCCTACAGAGTCACAGGCAGTGAACACAGTGCACAGCTGATCCCTCAAGCACCATGAGCTGACACAGATGAACGGGACTCTGAAGGAGTCCTACAGGTGGCACACCCTGCACAGCCAGGAGCCTCAGGGTGCCACAGGGCCGCACTGGCAAACACTCAGTAGCTCTGCACCATCTACTCCCTGACACAATTTAGAGAAATGCCTTCGAAGGCTCCAGTATTATGCGTTGCATCCCTCCAATCCACGCCCCCTCGTCCCTGCTAGTCCTGACAGTAGTTGGGGACAAGCAATGTTCCCCGGGGAGGAAAGCACCCATCTGACAGATGCCATCCCCACTCAAGCAATAGCCACATGCCAATGAGCCCCCAAACCCATCTGGGCTCAGGACTTCAGGGGGCCCCAAGTAAGCGAGAAATGGACATGGCATGATGAGCCCTGGTTCTTTGGGAAGAACGCTAGGGTGGGATGAAACACTACCACCCTCCCAGTAGGAAGCTAATCCTAAATTCCCAGTTGCCATTTGAACCCAAGTAAGGTTAGCCAGTAGGAATGAGGACTTCATAAATCAGAGGGACAAGAAGTACCAAACATGCCCTGTCACATGTCTGGAGATGTTACAGTCCCCTTTCACTGTCCGTTTGGTAAAATATTCTAACCTAGAAAGCTCTGAGCTATGAGATGGCGGTGTGCCCTCCATCCTGACTTCGGACGAGCTCAAGCAGGGCTCAGGTGACCCTCTGAAAAGGCAGACCAGGACATGAGAGCCCAGGTGGACAAACAGGTGTGGCCCAGGAAAGAATTCGAAGCAAGCCACCAACAGGGGAGAGCAAAGGGAAGACGGCCGTGCAGGTCCCTGTGCCCAGGTCTGGGGTACAGGCCATAATCAGTGTGTCCATTTGCATTTGCTATCCATACCAGCGGTAGTGAGCTGAGGAGGGACTTATTTCATGTTTTCCCCCTCAAATAGGGCTGACAGCCAGAGCTAACAGCCAGGTGACAGCTCCATACACTTGGCCCAGGACTGAGACGAGAGTAAAGTCTGGGCTACACTGCTCCATGATCCAAATTAACGGTGACCTACAGGAGGCACACACTACACAGCCACCTGCAGAGGAAACTCAGATTAAGCCTGGCACCCAATCCTGGCATACTCACCGTTAAAAAAGTCCGCATGAACTGCCTTTTCATTGGCTGCCAAGTCCATCAAGAGCCCGGTGCTCCCTCCGGCCTGCAGAATGAAAGGTAAGGTCACTGCATGTGTTTGTTTTCTAAAAGCAGGTGGTAGATTCATTACCATATCTATCCCTCCTCCCCGGAATGGAATACTGAGTGACAGGAAGAATGCTCAAGCCAGAGCCAGAATTTTCCAGACAAAGGAAGTAGTGTGAACGAAGAAGCCAAACAAACTATTTTCAAGGTCTCTCGAGGTCCTGTGTTCCTTGAGTCTTCCTTGGCATTGCCATGTGAGGTACTCTCTTGCTGGAGTCTTGAGTCCCTTCCCGGACCATACCACAGGACACAGCGGCAGTTCTAATAACTACTCCAGACCCTCCCCTCTGAGAATGCAGTAATTCTCCTTTTGGACAGTGACCTCCCTAGCCCTGAGGTCTGGGACACTGCTTTCAGAGGGTCCTCCAGGGCAGCCACCTCTTGGGACACTGTGCCCTTTAGTCACCCGGAAGGTGGGAGCAGAGACCTCAGGCAGCAGCACCCTGGGCAGCTGGCTCAGCTGGCCTAGGTCCTAATGCCCCAAGGCTAATGCCCCCTCCTGGTTCTCAAATGGCTGAACACCTCTGTTCCCTTCTGAAATTGCTCTCTGGACTCTGGGCCTCCCTTCCCAGCCCCATCATCACAGTAAGCCACGCAGATTCTGCCTCTGAAATCTCAACCAAGCTCCTTCTACCTTCACTGCCTCACTCAGAACCTCTTCAAAGCCTTAATTCTTCCTGTTTCCATTTCTCTACTGTCTCCCTACAAACCCAAAGTCCAAACCCTTCTGAAGACCAACCTCCACAGGAAGTCGGCCTGTCTGTCTCTCCTTACTATGATGCCCAACACCACCTGCTGCAGTACTGGGGAGCTGGGGCTGACTGAATCTGCCTCTGCAGTGGATCACAGGGCCATACTCATTCTGCAGGCTTCATGACGCAGCCCCATCTGTCCCCTCCCCTCCATGCCCTCTGCTCCTATGGCTCCATGCCCACAGGAAAACTGGGCACATCCTTCACCACTGAACCAACCAAAATCCCGTGCGCGCGCGCGCGCGCACACACACACACACACACACACACACACACACACACACACACACACACACACCCCTTGCTATTACACTTAGGATTTGCAATCGGCCTCTTCCGGCCATACCTGACCTCTCTACGGACAGGAGCTGCATTCGAGCATCTCTACTCTCTTGAGTTTTGAGGGGGAGCAAGAGGCTCTGCTATGCAAGAGCTGACTGACACTCCTGATCATAAGCACCTCACTGGAGCGCCTGTCCCGGATAAAATCGCTCTGTGGCCATGGTAAAGACCAAAGGCATCAGGCCGTCCCAAAACTCCGCGTGTCTACACACGCGTCCCAGCGCAAAGCACACAAACGCCACACATCGCCCCTTGCCCTTGCCCCAGGGTTGGGGCTGGCGGCTACTCAGTCCTTAAGCCTCGCTCGGGCTCTCTCTCCTGGAAAGATTTATCGGGAGCCCCAGACAGAGAACTGTCTACGAGCAAACCCTACTTCCTCGCTGCAATTCTCGTAACACAGACTCCGGCCCTGCGACTGTCACCATCAGCTCCCGCTTCCCCCGGCGCCTGCAGCTTTTGAATCCCCCAGGGCGTGGCTCCCGCGCGTGTTTGCGGGCCACGCTCCCGCGCCCACGCCCCGCTCCGCACTGCCGCAGCCCCACCTCGTCCAGGTCCACGTAGGGACCCGCTCCCTCGGGGAACATCTCATCCACGGCTGGCTTCATCTTGGAGCAGCGGCGTTCTGCTTACTTCCGGCCAGCCCCGTCTACTTCCGGCGTGTCTCGGAACAGGTCTAGACGCCGGAGGACCGCGCCTCGGTGGTGCCCCGCCGACCTGGTTCCTGGGCACCTGAGCTTCCCCCCGCCCCCAAGTCAGGCTGGAGGCAGGAGATTACCGGTTAAGGAGCAGCAGCACGAGTGGTCGGTGGAGGAAGGAGACTTCCCCAGCAGGGATGCAGTTCAAAACCATCAGAATGGCTACTACACAGAAACCGCAGGCGGTAATGGGGTAGCGAGAAGATGGGTATTGAACCCCCAAGCCCTGCTAGGGTTAGCAGAAATACAAAAGTTGTGCACAGTGGCCGTGACCCAGAATCCCAGCCTGGGTTCACTCGGAAATCTCTCAGGATCGCCTCAGCCAAGAGGAGGAAGCAAGAGGTGAACGTAGACAAAACCAAAACCACACGGTAGGATAGTGTGGAGTCTTACCTAGGAGAGCATTTCTAACCCACGGGCATGGGTGAGCCTGGAGGATGTTGTTAAGTGAAACAAAAATAAACGCTGCGATCCCACTCATGCGACACCCCCAGGGCAGTGAAACTCCTAGCAATGACGCAGTGTAATGGCTTGGGAGTGGCAGGTGTTCAGTGGACCAGTTTTCAAATCTGCAAAATAAAGAGTTCTAGAGGTGTGTGTGTGTGGGGGGGGGGTATTGCCCATTATATCTCTGGCTCGTTCACTGAGAGGTTGATACGTTTTAGGGTGCTATATTGTACTGTACCATGGTTTTTAAAGAAGGAGAGAAAGATAAGGAGGGGGTGAAGGGGGAGAGAAAGCCTGAGGTATTCTGACAGTCTAGATGATTCTAGTGAGGCTCCTGGATGTTCCTCTGGGACCCTCTTGCGCCTCCTTGTAAGATCCAGGTTTAACAAATATCCCTGTGAAGTCAATGTAGCAAGAAGCCTGTAACCAACTGATACCTCCCGGTCCTCCATGTCATACAGGGCCCATCGCCCTCCACTATCCCTGAACATGTCATGTAACTCTGCCTTCAGCAAAACCCCCATGTCCTCCATGTCATACAGGGCCCATGGCCCTCCACTATCCCTGAACATGTCATGTAACTCTGCCTTCAGCAAAACCCCCATGTTACTCCTGAGTCATTTCCCGTTTACCTGCACCCCGCTCCTTAACTGTCAGGCTCTGTTTGCTAATAATGTTGAGCCAAGACTCTCCATGCAGCATAAGGTTGTGGCTCTTAACCCTGTCACATGGCTTTGGATGCTCCCCCTTTCTCTGATTTCAGAGTGTCCAGGGTGTGTGTGTGTGTGTGTGTGTGTGTGTGTGTGTGTGTGTGTGGCGTTTTTGTTGGTGATAATGGTGTTTTTCTTTTAACAACTTTGAGAAGTCAAGGGCTTAGGGTCTGGGCTGCTAGAATGAGAATGGGGGGTCAAAGGAGATTACAGCTCCAGGGAAACTGACTTAGCCAAGATAAAATGGGAATCGTGGCCGGGGCAGTCACACACACCCCCAACCCCGTAAGCCTAAGTGGAATGTGCAGGATCGGGGAGAAGTAAGCAATGATTGGAAAGCCTCCGATGCCAGGTCAGTGTAGTCCTGAGGTGCCCAAGTGAAGGTCAAACCAAGGGAGCTGAGTCAGGGTGCCAGCTAAGAGGATTCTCCTATTCTGTTTATCTCCTAACTAGTGTGGGGGACGTTAGCCAGTGTGTTCTTGGCTTGCGTGGCCTGTATGTGCCGGGGAAGCCTACCAACTGTACATAGGATGTACCTGCACTCTGTCACACTGTCTGCCTATCCTCTCGCACCCACAGGACTACCCGGGTGGAATTCCCTTCCCCCAGAGGCCTCCGCCTGGAATCTTACCTTCAAAGACCAAGTATGGACTAAGACTCTGCCTCGAAGACAGGGATATGGCTTCTTGATTCCTGCCTCTCTTGGGAACATACATGCTGTGTACTAAGTATGGGTGCCTGGCCCCAACATGACTGCTGTTCATAGGCAGCCAAGTGAAGGAGCTGTCAGGGATGCTGTCTGGCTTGCCTAACTGTGACCATGGATTTAACAAGTCAGGCTGAACTGGTGTCTTTGTTTCAGATTCCTTACCTACAATTTGGGGCCACCATAGCCCATGCCCGGGTCATTATGAGGGTAGAATGGCAAGGTGATACCTAAGGGTGGAAGCTCTGATTGACACTCCTATGAGTTAAAATCATGTATGTTTTTTTTTATTAAAGGCGTGCCCAGAAGCCATCAGACTAATGCCCAGCTAACTCACAGATGTAGCACACATTGGCTCCTTGAAAGAAACCCACAGGGTGTTATGCATCTTCACAGGGAGTTTATTGAGCATGAGTCCCATCCCTTGCCCATCACTGTGTCTCTGGACCACCTTAAGCCCCATCCAGTGCAGCCAGGCAGGCAGCAGACTGGACTCTGCTCATTCCTCCTGGTAGGGAACATGGAATCCCAGGGTGCTTCCCAGAGGGAAGTGTGCAAAGAAGGTTCTGGCCATGTCCTCGATCTGTGGGTAGGCACCCTGGGTCTGGAAATATTGCACGTAGTTCCAGAAGTCAGAGGTGGAGAATGGCCAGTAGGGCATGGCTGGTGGCTGGATGTAGGGGTCTGAAAGACACAGGTAACCACCTCAGGGCCTGTCCCTGCCGCAACACCCCCTAAACGGCCAAGGCAAATGGCCAAGGCAAGTGCATGGTGTCCCTCAGGGCCTGCCATTTCAATGGCGCCTTCCCAGCCAGGAGTGGAGTTTGAACCTTTTGTCCATTAGGGCACCTGGTCTGGTGGACAGAGGACAAGTTGGAGACAGAAGAACAAAGTGGGGCCTTGTTCTTTTCTGTGGAGATGTTGAGCAGGGAGGTATCTGGGTGATGGGCGAGGGACTCAGGCGGCATGCGGGATGAGGGATGAGGCTTCAAACAACATAGCGCCCAAGATATAGAGCACAGGACAGGCCACCTTGGTAGGATTGGGTTGAGCTTTGACTCCTGAGGGGCCCCAGAGTTAAGCCAGGCTGAGGGTGGGACCCTGAGGGCTCGTTCATCTCCTTTCCACCTGGGTGTTCCCTGCTGGTAACAGCACCTGCATAGTCACAGTCCCAGGAGACCTAGCTCTTCTGCTGTTCTGTGTCTACCAGGGAAAGGCAGCCTCTGCTCCCCACCAGTAACTTATGCCAGTGAAAGAAAAGACATTGAAAAAAAAATGTACCAGCTTCCTCTGGCATTGGCTTTGCTCCTGTAAAAGAAAAGGAGAGTCATCACCTAGAACATTAACCACTGCAGATCAGGACAAGGACAGTGTGAAGGAGAGGTGTGGGGAGGTAGGAGAGCTATGGCTCCGTCCAGGCCCAGAGTGGCCCCTCACCTGCAGGAATCCCCAGCAGGATGCCAAGGGCCAGCCACCACAACACACAGGCCTGCATCTCACCAAGGTGCAGTCAATATACTTAGGACCACCTGCGGCATAAGGAAGCCAGGGATGCTGCTGCTGCCCCCTAGGACTAGCCCATCCTGCCACCCAGAAGAGAGTGGACTACCCTTGGGAGCACTAGCATCTTCATAGCTACTTCTGCTTCTGCTTTACTACGTCATTAAGAGGTAAAATCTTACTAATTTTAATTAAGAGATGACTCCCCCACCCTGAAACCCACCTCTACCACACACACCAGACTCACCCTGTCTGTAGAGAGAGCAGCCCAAACCCTCCTCGAGCAGCCTTGTGGGGATACTGCCAGTGCTCAGGCCTCTTTATAGGAGGGCTGGGGACAAGGAAGGAAGCTCCACCCGCCTGAGCCGTCAAACTGAATATTTCATCCCCAGGCAGAGAACTGTGGGTCTCTATTTCCCCACAGGCTGGAGGGAGGAGCTGGGGGAATTGGACCACAGACCAAATCCATCAGTTTTCAAAGCTGAGTTCAGCACAGGTTCACCTGATACCCCTCCTCTCCACAGGGAGAGCAACTCTAAATCTGACAGGGAACTGCTGAGTCCCCTGTCCTGTGCTGTGGTACCACTGTGATGCCATAGCCTCCCCAGTAAGCCTGCAAACACTCCCTCACCAAGGACACCGGCAGAGCAGCCAGGGACAGGAAATGTGGAGCCAAGCTGGACTCCTTCCCCATACCAGAGTTTTCCCTGCAAGTCTGTAATGGAGAAGGCACTGTCCCAACCAAAGGGATATCAGCAGCCAACAGGGCCCCTTTAAGTCAGGCTACTTGCTAGAACCTATGCCCACATGTGCAAGTAAGTAGCTCTGTGACCCCCCCACCCCCAAGGTCTCAACATCTTGCTGGGTGCAGAGCCTATGTCCAGGTTTAAAGGCCTCCATTGTGCCCCGGAAGATACCTCCTGGCACCCTGCTGGATACAAGGCCGGATTCCAGGGTAATGATCTCCATTGCTCTTTAACACCTTGGGACTCTCAAGGATCCTGGTACCCTGGAGTTCTGGCCCAAGATCCTGGTTCTGGAGTTGTGTGGCCCAAAAGTCCCAGGTTCATTGTAATTGCCCCTCATCCAAGCAATTCAAGACTTATATTTTCCCAAGTAGCAGTTTAAATCCAGAGACCCAGAGAGGGGTCTGGTAGTATTGGCATGCATTCATATAGCAGGGAGCCTCTGGGTTTCATTTCCAGAACCCTGGCCCCCATTGCTGTTGTCAGGGCAATTGTGTCAGGTGTCAGGATCCATGAACCCTCTCCAGGTATGAGATTCACTAGGACAATCAGGGTAGCACAGCTGTGCTCACAGCTGTGCTTTACAACACAGGCACGGGGGACCTGGCAAAGGGAACGGGGTCTGGTCAGAGCCCAAGGGAGCAGACATCCTGAGCCTGAGCATCTGACTGTCAGACGTCCACCAGGGACACCACCAGAGCAAGCCCTCCAGCATAGCCTTGGCTAACTCACCCGCTGCAGCAGGCAGCAAAGGGTGAGGTCAGCTCTCCTGCTCTCGCCCTCAGGGCCAGCTCACCCACACCCCCACCAGCAGGGTCAGCTCTGCTGTTTCCCGGGTGAGGTGAGGGGCCCGTGCTTCCAAG